AATTGAGAGACAGAGATGCAATTACATTTTTTCATTGATAAGGGCAAGTGGTTTTATTATTCTTCAGGCTTTTCTCTTTGTTTAACTCAATTTCAAAGTAAAACTTTCATAACGCATTTGTAATAAAATGTCGCCATTATTGTTTTGATACAGTAAGACAGTGATTTTCATCAATGTAACTGTGTCTGATTAAAGGGACAGTTCACTTTGAAATTCATTTTTCATATGTTTCAGCTTTCCTCAAGGGAAAGGGTCGAACCGTTCTTGTCTGTCAGTCATAATGGAGTTTAATGGGGTTCACCTCAAAAAGCATGCACAGAGAAGTCCAAATTAAACATGATTTAAAGACTCGTAAATGTAAGTACACAAAGACACGAAACGAGCGGTTTGTGTGAGAAAATGAACGGTATTTATATCATTTTTACCTCTTGTAATCACAGCCATGTCCAAGTGATCTGAAGGCACGGGTGCTTCGGTCTGCGCATGCGCCGGAAAGTGCAGGAAGTGATCTCTCGCGCATGTACGTCACTCATTTAAATCAAAATTCAAATTTACGAGTCATTAAATCATGTTTAATTTCGACCTCTCTGTGCATGTTTTTTCAGGTGGACCCCATATACCTCCATTATATAACTAACAGACAAGTACTGTTCAACCTAAAAATATCAAAATTGAAAATACTGTGGAAACAAAGACACCTGCATCTTGGATTCCCTTGAGGTAAGCTAAAACATATCAAAAATTAAGTTCAAAGTGAACTATCCCTTTAATTAACAAATGACAAAAAGTGTTTATTCATTTATTTATTATTTTATTTTTTTATCAAATACATACAGGGCAACCAATAACAATTCTCTAAATAAATTACCAGCTGGTTATGAGACAGTGGCAGATCCTTAAACGTATGCAAGAAGCTTGCTGGTTCAGATTCCTGACTGGAGGCGAATAACCCAAAAGATATCTGTTTTAGCAACCAACAAAACATTTAGCACCTAACTGCTCCAAGAGCTCAATTCTCTGACTTCCGTTTGTCCCGAAATTCGAAGATACTGTACATGCAAATTGATCAAGTTTAATGGATGTAGTATAGTTCAGTCGACAAATGCACATAAAAGCTCCACTAAAAAGAATGAAATGATGTATTGTGCAAAATGGGCTTTTACTTTGGACTTATTAGTAAGGACAATTCTGTAAAGTCAGAAAGGAGAACAATAAGAAACCTGAGATTCCGCAGCGAGCGAGAGAACGAGAGCGATGTGGAGGGGGAGAAGGATAAAGTGGATGAGAAGGAAAAAACGCTGCATTCTTGTAACTCAAGAACTGTAAGAATGTGTGTGCAGCAGGTATTTATGGAAAGGTGATGGCAGATAGTTGCTCTGGAAACGGCGACAACAAAAGAGAAAAGCAGAGAGTAGTGGAAGAAGGGAGAAAAAAAAAGGAAAAACAACTGCAGGCAGCGCTCAAGGTGTGATGGCACCAGCTCTGCGTACCACGTCACCATGGCAACAAGCGGCGGGGAGAAATGGCGGTGTTAACATTCATTCAGAGAGGCAGCACGTGTCCATCAATCTCTAGCACATAAAGAGGCAACAGCACGTCTGCTAATAGTGTGAAGCCTGCAGGGCGCTCTATTGTTCTGCTATAATTATGCCAAAAAGGACAGGAAAGGGTGTTGCTCTTTTCTTCACAAAGGGGTCCCAACACAAACAGATTCAAAACAGAGGCTTCAGTTCATCCCAAGGTATAAAAGAAGAGCAAACCTGACAACATGCACACACACACACATTGCGGGCACACGGGGCACCCCGTGCACTCTTTTGAAAGAGACACCAAAGGCGGACAATCCCGCTTATCACTTTGTTGTGATAATCTTTTCTAAACACAGCCCTGGGTGTGCAGATAAACTCCAAACACAGCATTCAAGGTGAGCTCTCTCTCTCTCTCTCTCTTCCTTCACTTCTTTCTCGGAATTCCATTTTTTTCCATTTGGTCCGTTTGCTGCCACACTCTGTCAGCAGTGGCAGGATGACGGGGCGGAGGAGAACCGGAGGAGGTGGAGAGAGGAAAACAAGATGGCACAGCGGCGTGAAGGTTATGACTTTGAACGTGCGCTAGCTGGGGACCGGAGCGCACACACTTTGACAAGCAAAGACACAAATACACACACGGATTGCTCTGAGTGTTCCTGTTTGTTCCAGGTGCTTCTCTACTCTTGCTCAAGTCAAACATCTACATGGCTATATGGCGGGAGATCTGGATCAACTGGTGAAGGTCAACACCTGAGAGGGTGGAAGGGAATCACCAGCAATTGGCTGAGCCAAACAGAGCTAAAATGTGTAGTCGGCATTAACTGAATTTGTTTGTTTTCCTGTTTTAAACAGTTGATTGACCTTGTTATTGTTCATTGTTCAATAATCATTGTTATAATAGAAATAAAACGTAAATATTTGATTGTGAACACTAATTAAAATGACAAAAGCACATAACATAGAGGCTAAATCCTAAACTAAAATGAGCTCATGAGTATTCATATGTGTTTTTACGCAAAGTGGTTCTACCACATGTAGCCAACTTTTACTTGAGTTTCAATAGACACTGAAACGCACGATATTACAACGCATTCTCATCCTTTAGCGTCATATAGAATGTTTATATGACAAAACGGCGCTATAGTACGCACATGGCACCCGTTATCGTTAATATAACACGCGCTGTGATGGTTAGGTTTAGGTGTGGGGTAGGGTAGGGTAGTCTCATATTACGCGAAAGGATTTATGACGCCTTGGGTTCGCGTGAATATTAACGATAAAGGGTGTCATGTGCGTAGTATAGCGCCGATTTGTCATATAGCGTTCTATGTGACGCTAAAGGATGAGAACGGGCTGGATATTAACCTATTGACAGCACTAAAACATAATATATTGACACTTTAAAACCTTAAAAATAATCTCATTTCTGTAATCGTTTAACCATTATTTATCATGTAATACATATTTTATATGCCGTGGGACACAAAAGGTGTTTTTTCAGTATAGTCCTATATTGTGACTGAAATAGAATCATAAAATACACAAAAAACATAAAAAAGCAATCAATTTTATTTGTGTTCAGTTGTGGGCAACAGACTCAAATTCAAAGCATTTCAATCTCCCCCTGGTGGCTTGCTGCAGTGTAGGTCATAAACCCCGCCCACTGCATGTATTAGAATGGGACGCGATCCAAACAAAAAATAAAAAAATTATACTTTACATTTTTTTTTTCTAAACATCGTTTCTGTCATTTAGGTAGTTCTTACCACAAAGACACTAATTTTCCAATTAGTTTGGTTTTAGTTATTTTTTTAATGCTATAAAAACGGGATGTGACGTCATGATCAAACATGAATAAGACACTTTTGTGTGTGTATATGTGTAACGCTGAGTGAAGAGCGTCAAAGGTTTCTATTTACGTGTTTTGAAGCGTTAGTCATTGTAGCCAACATTAAACGCATGAAGGCAATGGCCAATAGGGTATTGAGTAAATATAGAGTAATGGATCGATTTTAAGAATTTTGAGATTGTCAAATCAGATCATTATATTAGTTGTTTTTTTATCAAACTAGTCATTAGCTACAGCCCTTATGCCGAGAAGTCACTGGATACACATTCTAAAGTGTCTAAAGTCATGCTACATGCTTTCTAGTGGCATTAGCCCTTAGCGCTTCAGTTCTGACACGACTGCGACATTTAATTAAAAACAAATGCCACAGTGCCTCCTGAACTCATAAGTCACTCTGCCAATGCTGTGTTGGCATGTCATTGCAATCATAGCAACACAATGACTCACAAAGTTTCTGAGGTTATCAGCTTCTAGTACGTCAGCTGAGCTTAAGGTCAGAAGGACACAGTATCTACACTGTCAGTGATCAGGGTTTCTGCAGTGTGAGAGGGCGTTCACATATTTTAATCAGCCTTGCAGGACAACTGGCCGGCAATAGCTACAATTGCAGCAGTGGCGAACTGCAGAGGATGAGTCACAAACAATGAACTAAATCTGTCCAAAAAAAAAAACAAATGCACACATAAGCGCTCAATGAGACACGTGTCGCATTTCTTTTTGAGCCCCTAAACACAGGATGAAAGAGATTAATTGCCCCATCTCAGAACTGCATACAGTATGCACATCACCTCTTTAAAGGGATAAGAAACTGAGAAGAGAGACTCAGCTGAGGGCTGATAATAATGTGTCACTATAACTGCAAACGCAGGGACAAGCTGAAACCTCTAGATACATCATAGTACGAAAGTAATGCGGAGATCTTGGTGGGAGATTGTCGAATGTCATATTGGCTTTGGGATCTGGCGATAGCTCTGGGTCTAGTGATAACTGTTTGAAATGAGTGTGAACGCACAGCACGTGAAGGCTTGGGATCCCACCTATTCGGAGTGTTTTTGAGCAAAACGGAGAGGATGAGATGTGCAGAGACACGAGGAGCAGCCATGGTGCCTGAATGGAGCTGGAAAGGGGCAGAGAAACTCCACAGGGAGCATGGCACTGTTCTCACCCTAATGAGCAGCCAGATCTCAAAACAGCAAGCCTCCAAAATCTCCAAACCTGTTCTACTCTCACATGGGACTGTATCAAACACTTTCACTCACACTGGAGGAGTTCGAGTAACAAAGTGCCGGCCAAACGCAGAGCTTGTTCCCATGGTTGAGGTGGGAGGCCTGCTCTGAGCGATGGGCACAAAAATCACTTTCTGACTCAACACATTCAAAGCGTAATTACATCCAGCTGCCTTTGTAATCTACTTTGGAAAGGGAAATCAAGGAGAAGGATGATGGAAAGATGAGAGATTGAGAGGAAGATCGGATAACAGACTGAATCGTGCATTTACAGAGAGGCCGGGGGCTCAAACTCTTACCGGAAAGCCTCCAGCACAGTTCTCTCCGGCAGACGAGGGGCAACTCGCTTGAAGGCACTTTTGAAGTCATCCATCTTTAAGAAGCCACGACCTGGAGACAGTACAAACCAAGAGCAAGAGTTAATAAGACTAATAATTTAAAACATCATAAAGTCCTTTATTGCCGGATCGGGTGTGTTATTAGAATGCCACGTTCGTATGAGATCGGGCAAAGAAAATGAGATTGCTCATTATTTTCTCTTAGCTTTCTCTGCTCATTCCACCCCATAAAAGGTTGCTGGCTAAAGCTGAAAGTATACCTCCCTTGTACGCATTCTGCTCTGCCTGATGAAATTGTCATGATCAGTAAATCCACTGATATTTGTGGACACCGGCCACGTGCAGACCCGTTTTTGTGTCCATGCGGGCTTGTGTGCAGACAACAGCGCAATTGCGAGTGATTTGTGCTTGAAACAAACGGTCCATTCGAACGCGCCCACTCAGCAAACACAGAACGTTGGCACAATGTACCCAACCTCCTAACAACGTTTTAACAACATGGCCAAAAGGTTGCTATAACTAAGTTGTGTGGTGAATGTTGTTACAGCGTTGTCACAATGCTGACATTGACAACCTTAAGCCATTGCTTAATGGTCCTGTAAAACAACACCCTTTTTTACATCCTCCAAAACAGCTTTGTTCACAGTGACCCATTTCGGTGCATGTCTCTTTAAATGATAATGAACAACTTGCACACTCCACCCCTCGCTTCCATGGGGGGTGTCGAATGGCTGAGGGCAGAAACATAATACAGGACAGTCCGTCAGTGGTTGTTGGGGGCGGAGCATGAGCATTATGACATCATAGTGCTCAGAAAAACCAAACGGCCTGATTTTTGAGAGTGTTTCGACTTTTTGAAGATTAAAAAAAAGTAGTGAATGGATTTTTTTCATTGTATGGTGGTTGTGTCCACACACTGCAAAGACACATTTATATGCAAACACTATATAAAAGTGAAGTTTGCAACCGATGATCCCTTTTAAATGTTTTTCTTTAATTGCTAATGCAACCTTTAAACACCACAGACTGAACAAAATTAAGCATTGCTTGGTAACTGGTTGACCAAAACTGGTAACAGCTGAAAGCTGACAGCTATTCAGCCTAATTCATTTGTGTGACAGTCTAACAGAAGGATGGCCAAAACCAGTTAACCAACTCTGAATTCTTGTCATAATTTATTGCCATTTATATAGAAACTCAACTATAGCGAATTAACTGGGATAATGTGAGAAATGTTGAAGGTGTCTGAATAAATTTTCGTTTGACTATCTGTTATCATCAAAAAAAAATGTGTTTTATGGTTTCATGACCCTTTAAGTCCACTTGCAGCTTTTTGACTGAGATTGTGAAAGCAAGGAGTAAGACCAGCTGAGATCTCAGTGTCTACAGGAGTCTCTTTCAGAAATCTCAGAGGAACAGCTTCTTTTTGCCCTCTTCTCGGCGACTGGCACGCAGGACTTTGATTTGCAGGAAATGGCTCCCCTGAGGAAGTTTAGAGCGCTCACATCCAAAGTCAGAGCTGAGAGTGGAATCTGTTTAGCGTGTCTGCTGAATTGATGAGAGGCACAGCGGCGGGCGGCAGCACTGTGACATGCATGTCAACACGCCAGACCAAGCAACACCAACCGTAACCAAACACTGCCCTCCACAGCCATGACAATAGGCCTGTTCAAAACTCGAAAATTACACATCTCGCCTGTGAATAGGTTTGAAGTGTTAAAAGGGTGTATAATGGATTTATTAGCTGAATGCAGAAGAAATTAAATGTTTTGAAGACAAAGCACGAGCAGCAACCGGCAGGGAGCACGGCTCACTTTCACACCGGGTGAGAACGGGAGAGTTTCCAACTGCACCGAGCATGCTCTATCACAGGGCAGGCTGCCACTTCAGCTCTGAATGGGAGAGACGCACTTCAGCGTGCTTTAGCTTCCAACGCATCCCCATTGAAGATGAGGATGGGGGTGACGGTGCAGATAAAACAGTCATACATCTCATCCAGAGCAAACTGTTCAGCCGCAGTTAGGAGAGGACTTGCCTCTGTTGGCAGGCTGACAGGAACACCAGGCAGAGAAAGCCAGGACAGAGGGTTTAAGCTTAGCTGGCAGAGGAACAAAGACATTCAATCTGGGAACTGCTGAAATTATTAAAACACTTTTCTAGCATGTAAGCTCTGCTGGAGAACACCTGCCTGACAGTTGTCCTTCAAGTCTTCAGCTGCGCATGTTCATTGACAACTGTTCAAAGGGAAGCCAATTGAATTTTTCCAATCTGATACAAAGTGCATCTCGTAGCGCTATCATTTGTCAGTGCTGATATACAGTGAAGACCAGAATCACAATAAGTTGGGTTAGTAAAGAATAAGTTAGATTCAGAATTCCAATCTAGTTCTAAAATTAGCTAATTTTCAGGTTGCCCTGAATTCATACAAGGGTTGAGTGAACTCGCTCACAGCAATTTGGTCCTCAAAATGAATTTGATGGTTCATTACCATTCACAATTCTAATTAAAAGCCAACTGTAATTTTTTAATGCCTAGTACTTATTGCTGTAGACAATTTTAGGTCTGGAAGGATGTAGAAATGCTCTATAGCCTGATCGGGTGGCTCACAGGAAGTCAGTGATATTTCAAAGACGACTGAGAAATCAAACGAGATACAAGAGAGATAAACAGAAAGTGAACAAGAGAGAGAGAGCTTCAGGCAAAAAATAGGTCCATCGTATGTCTGCTGAAGAGGCGTTTTCACATGAATAAATATCCTGCTCAAATACACCGGTTTTCCTCTTTAATGGCAGGTCAGCAGGGTTAATGAAATAAGATCCCTCAGCCATTCTGAGCAGATTCCATCAAGGTCAGCAGATATCCTCCTTCTGTGGTCACTCCTAACTTTGTGAAATAATTTCTGTTACAAAATTAATTAGTTAATTATACATTTGCCTCCCTTTGGAATATCCTACAAACAGTTCCATGGAGGCTGAAACAATCCAGAGAGACCGCAAGGCCCATTTTACTGTGTTTTCTACCCAACCTTGAAAACTCAAATATTGGTTCAAATGCTTCATTTCACAGAATGACTTAATTTAGGGCAAAGTACTACAGCTAAAAATGGGGGAATCTTTGCATTTGGCTTTCTAGCTTGTAAGGCATTAACTGTTTAAAAATCAGTTTTTCAGTTAAGGATTTGCACAATGGCCTGGCTTTGCAGGATGAAGCAACCAAGACTTTCCCACCCTCCCTAACCCCCAGGGAACACACTTTAGCGGCGCCCCTGCCCCAGCAGAGGTCTGTGCACAACACTGCACTGCATGATAGTAACAGTGGACCAAAGAAAAGGACACATGGCGCCCTCTACTGTAATAATATGAAAAGAACAGGTTTGTTAAAATGCTGTCATAAACACAGTTATTAGGATTAGTTTCACCATCATTATGTGTAGGCTAACTATACCTAATCAGGACTAAAATTTAACAGATAGCACAGGCATCGGCCATTGTTTACAAAGAAAAAAAAATGTAATTGTTTCTGCCCAACACCAAATGGACCTCATACTACAGACATTCTCACTACAATTGCACTATACACTCACCTAAAAGATTATTAGGAACAACTGTTCAATTTCTCATTGATGCAATTATCTAATCAACCAATCACATGGCAGTGGCTTCAATGCAATTAGGGGTGTGGTCCTGGTCAAGACATTCTCCTGAACTCCAAACTGAATGTCAGAATGGGAAAGAAAGGTGATTTAAGCAATTTTGGATGGAAAAACATCCAGTATGCGGCAGTTCTGTGGGTGAAAATGCCTTGTTGATGCTAGAGGTCAAAGGAGAATGGGCCGACTGATTCAAGCTGATAGAAAAGCAACTTTGACTGAAATAACCACTCGTTACAACCGAGGTATGCAGCAAAGCATTTGTGAAGCCATACGCACAACCTTGAGGCGGATGGGCTACAACAGCAGAAGTAACACCGGGTACCACTTATCTCCACTACAAATAGGAAAAAGAGGCTACAATTTGCAAGAGCTCACCAAAATTGGGCCGTTGAACTGACTGGAAAAATGTTGCCTGGTCTGAGTCTCAATTTCTGTTGAGACATTCAGATAGTAGAGTCAGAATTTGGCGTAAACAGAATGAGAACATGGATCCATCATGCCTTGTTACCACTGTGCAGGCTGGTGGTGATGGTGTATGGTGTGGGGATGGCTTCCTGACACACTTTAGGCCCCTTAGCGCCAATTGGGCATCGTTTAAATGCCACAACCTACCTGAGCATTGTTTCTGACCATGTCCATCCCTTTATAGCCATCATGTACCCATTCTCTGATGGCTTCTTCCAGCAGGATAATGCACCATGTCACAAAACTCGAATCATTTCAAATTGATTTCTCGAACATGACAATGAGTTCACTGTACTAAAATGACCCCCACAGTCACGAGATCTCAAACCAATAGAGCATCTTTGGGATGTGGTGGAACTGGAGCTTCGTGCCCTGGATGTACATCCCACAAATCTCCATCAACTGCAAGATGCTATCCTATCAATATGGGCCAACATTTTTAAAAAAACAAAAATGCTTTCAACACCTTGTTGAATCAATGCCACGTAGAATTAGGGCAGTTCTGAAGGCGAACGGGGGTCAAACACACTATTAGTATGGTGTTCCTACTAATTCTTAGGTGAGTGTATATATTTGTTAGTTTGTGGGAAAAAAAAAACAACTTTAAAAAACACTATAAGTGCCTCATGGAACATATTAAAATAATTGTAAAAATCCATGTCATGACCCCTGGTATTCTATCATTTTAAACCGAAAATGCTTACATGTTTTATTTTTTTTATTTTTTTACTTCATTGGTATGGTACAAACTTGGTAAAGGGTTTGACACCTGCAAAAAAATCATGGACATAATTTGAAAAGGTTACATGGTCCTGAAAAAAATCCTGAAACACACTTGTGCTCCTCTGGGTCAAAAATGACCGCATTGGAAATGAATGGGAGACTAATTTCTAGACTAATTTCTAGTTAACTCTTTTGGCACTGTGGCCAAATAAATTCTTATACTGAAAGCAATTTTTTTAGATATTAAGCTAAAATTTGGAACACAACTTTTCCGTTGATTTCATATAAAAATTGAAAAAATAATTTTTGTGCATTTTTCATAACAATAAACATAAAATTCTGTAACTAATTTCTCTTTTATAAAAATGTTTCACTTCAGCAATATTTTGCCATGTGTCCTCTTAAAAAAATATTAAACTTATGTCTTTGCTCCAAAGCATTCAAAATTTACAATAGTTTAAGTTGGAAATTCAATTTTCGGGTCTATGCTCAAAACATGAATAAATTGATTATAACTACTGCAAATATAAATGTAGTACCATAAAATCCGCTAAAAATACAAATTATTAAATAAAAAAAAACATTATCAAACTAAAATATAGTACATTCCTTTCATTGAATTGATTTTTTTTAAAAAAAGGAAAAAAGAAAATCACCACGCTGAGAGCACCAGAGGGTTAAACATGCAGAATGCAAAGAGTGGATGCACCTACAATGTACATCAAATGCAGTGAAGATCTGCCTCGTCTTCTCATATGGATCTTCTGATGACATCTTCCTCCCCATGAGAGGCACAAACTGCTCCAGTGGGACCCCTTTAGGAGAGAGAGAAAGAATGCTGGGTCTATTACAAGGCTCTCGTCTGAAGTGCAGGTTCTTCCTTTACATGGCAGTCATCTGAAAGCACTGTGTTTAAAGGAGTAATATCTTTCTCTCTTGCCTGCAGGGTAGTCTTTTTTTCTCTGAGTGCTGTTATTGAGATGAAAAGGGTAGGCTGGGGAGTTCTAGATAGAATTCTCACGAAACAGCAAATATACAGAAGGAGTTTGGCGTGGGGATCTGGGTGGGCCATGCTGACAGTGATGGCTGAGAAACTGGGGGATAAACCTCTATTGGGAAAAGCTCAAATTAATTAAGAGATCCAAGGACAGACGTGATGGCTCCATTGCACTTTAAATCATGCCAAAACATAAGCTGTAATGCGTCCTTTGAGAATCTCACACCTAACGGACAAGTGAAAAGAGTACTATGTGAACACAGAAAGGATTGCTTTTTTAAAAACAAGTTAGTAAGCAGAAGTGTAGTTTTTTCTAAAGAAAATGATTGTGGAGCTTGATTTGCATGTTCAAAAAAAAAAAAGTCTCACTATCAAGTTTCTATAATATTCTGGTCCCTAGATAGGGTTTCCCTCCCTCATTTTTGTCATGAAATAATACATCTGATTGCTTAGAAAAGTAATAGTACACCTCTCATCAAGCAGCATGAATTGAAGTATGACATACATATACAGCACAAATGGCGATGGACAAGATACACACCAATGTTTTATAAAATAACAAAAAAAAAAATTAAAAGTCACAATTACATAAGAAAATGTTGCTATGTAACAGAAGTAACAAAATACATTTTCTTTTGTATTTTGACACATATCTAAGTAAAAATGGATTATCCGAAAAGGAAAAAATAGGGTAATAAATCATTTACAATAAGATCAATAACATGCAGACAACCAACTGGGGGAAATTTTATTTGCAGACTTGAATGTGTTCTGCCAAATTTTGATAGAATTAGGACAACTTTATGCTACAGAGATTTTAAACACCACAAAAGTGACATTTGCTTCAGTTGTCATCAGATGGCCATGAAAATTCATAGGAATTTGAATTAAATTATGAAGTATTTTTATAGACACACATTTTGCTCTCCAATTATATTATCCTAATTCTTACAATCAAAAAAAAAGAGAAAACTTCAGCATGTATGCCACACAGCATGGACCAAGCATGCATAAATAAATGGATAAATGTAATAGGAAAATAAATAATGGAATAAATAAGGGTGCTGTGATCGTTATAAACCGATAATCGTTTTATTGATCTGTGGTCACCGTAAATTTTAACAAACAGGCGCATTGTTTAGAGCAAAATAAGGTGGATAGGTCTCTGCACAATCCTAGAAAATGCAAGACAAGTCTGCCGTTTGCACTTGTAACGGTTACCAGCTGGAGTGCCCTATTGAGCCACCAGAGGGCACTCCAGATAAGACTATGTTTCACACAAACTACAGTTCCCAGAACTCACTACCTGGACTCATCATCACTGATCACATTCACCTGTACCTCATTCACTATTGCATTCACCTGTCTCATCTTGTTAGTCTGGCTATATATACCATGTTCATTCAGTCACTCACCGCGATGTCTTGTTTAAGTGTTTCACTGCAATTCTGAGCATTCTTATGGTTTTCTGGTCTCTTGGTTTTGGATATCTTGCCCTGTTCCCTGGATTACTCTCTTGCCTCTGGTCCCTGCCTGTTTTGTTTGTTTCTTTGTTTATCTGTTTTGGACTGCCTATCTATTTATGACCCTTGCCTGTACATTGGATTACGCCTCTGGATTGCCCTCAAATAAAGCTGCGTTTGGATCTCATCTACAAGCCTCAGAGCAGTTCGTGACAGCACTAATGCAGAACCATATAATGACAGATGTTTCCTTTTGCACCTGTCGTATGGAAATAAAATAATGACAAATGTTTTTGAACCAAAAAACTTGTTGAACTGCACTACTTAAAATAATATGCATTGCATTGACCCTTCTTGCATTTTTATGGGCTGAAATTCAACATGGTTGTACATTTAAGCTATGAATATTTCAATTCAAAACATTCACATATATTTTCATTAATAAAAAAATAATAATAATCTATATTTCACCTTTCAGATTTCACATCCAAAATATTAATTCTGTTTAAAAGTACAACCTATAATATTCTACAGGAAATTTCCGGTCCATTCTATTTTGCTTTACAAATTCAGTGGTAGAAAATTTGACCGAAAATTCAAAATTTCACATCCTGGAAATGCAGGATAATCGAAATGGGACTGTCTGCGGCTGCAAGAGAGGGGTGTAACTTGAAGTTGGATGAACGAGATGTTGTTGGCAAGATGGCAGCTCGTTTAGAGACAACCAGAGATAAACAACGGTAAGAATATTTTTCAGAGATAACCGTTCAAATTGAAGTGTGTCAGTCATTTTCATTCACTTTTGGTAACACATTTTGGTATTGTTTCTAGAGTTGATAATCTATTAACCGTCCTCGCTTAAAGTTGAGCAATTTTTTACGGTCTAATAAGTTAACATAGCCGTAACGTGCTCTCGGAATTGTCGTAAAAATGAGTTTCTTGTTTTAAAAAAATGAACGTTGCATGAACTTTTTATATCGCAGCAAGGGGAAAGAAAAGCTTTTGGAACTTTGAGCTACTCAATCTGTGCCCCGCGGATGCCAGCAACACAACACATTAAATAGCCCCTGGAATGGTCACTTGCCATTATTAAATTGTAAATGCATACTGTACATAGATGTTGCCTAATTTATTCATTTCAATACTAAAAATAACTTTCCAGTTGATCTGCCTGATCCTGTAGCAAACTCTCTATTGCTTAGTTAGATCTGACGTTTCTTCGTGAGCAATCAACCAATGATGCACTAAAGCTTCGCAATGACCGCAAATGACTTCGCAAACAGGTAGCTGCCTGACTTATACCACACACACAGGAAAAAGTGCAAAAGTGTTCTCGCCCAGAGCTCCTGTTTAAAATCATGGACAGCTCTGATTTGATGTGCTTCCTCCCTTATCACTTCAGACTGTCCCTGAGCCATTCCAGACCAGGTTGGAAGCCAGAATACAAACATTACATGGATGCTGAATGAATGTTGCATTAACAACATAGGACGTTTTTTTTTTTTTTTTTTTTTTTTTTTTTTTTTTTTTTTTGGAGATTAAAAGACTAAATCTAAAGCTTCAGATCTAATCTAATGTACCATTCTGGTTAGTCAAGCATTTGTCTGGGCTTTGAGAGTCTGGGCCGAGGGCCGTGAGAGAGCAGTGCGATGCCAGTATACTACAAAATGAGACAAATGAGTCTCCAAAAGTGCACGTGCAAACGTGTGCAAAAGTACAGGATAGTACAATACAATAATTAATAAGTAAACAGAAAACAGGCACAGTAAAAGACAGTGCAGCACAGTACAGTTATGATTGAGTAGTGCAAAGAGATGATACTTTCTAAAAAAAAAATGCCAAATGTAAACATATTATGAATAGAATACTATGAATAGTGTTCTGTGGACATACTGAGGTAGCAGCCCGGTATAGAGTGAAAATGAATTAAAGGGCAACTCTGAACATGTGCAAAAGATGGAGACACACAAATGTGTGTGTGTTAGACCAGTCTCTGTGTATTAAAGAGTCTGATGGCTTGGGGGAAGAAGCTGTTACACTGTCTGGCCACAAGGACCTGAATGCTACAGTACCCTCTTGCCAGATGGCAGGAGTGTGTGGGGTCATCCATAGTGCTGGTTGTTTTGCAAATTCAGCGTTTTATGTAATTGTCTTTGATGGTGGGACGAGAGACCCCGATGAGCTTCTCAGCTGTCCTCATAATCCTCTGTAGGGCTTTGCGCTCATGCTAATAATGCAAGTTTGAATCTATGTTGAATCATATCCCTAACAATAAAAATGGCATAAATAAACATCTGTTATTTAAATATCTTTCAATTATCCATTGTCGAGGCCTTTCTGAATCAACAAAATCTTAATTCTGAAGCTTTCATTCCTTTGTGATAAAAAATAGAGGCACGAGAAATAGCAATTAAGAGATGTGACCTTTTCACCATTTCTCGCTTATAGTGTAAAAAGAAGAAAGAGAGTGAGATAAAGAAAAAAGGGGTTGAGTAGGCTAAACAAGTGGTAGTAGTATTGTGAATGCTGTGTAGCACTGAAGCCTCAAGTGGCCTCTTTTCTGTGCAATGAGCCTGCCAAAGCATTTCACTACTGAGTCTAGTCAAGCCTCCCACATCACCACCAGCAACCCTATCCTCCCGACCATCACTAATTTAGTAATCACATGAAATTCAAAAGAGGGGCAATTTAATTCACCATTTGCTCTGAGCAAGATTTAATGGTGGAATATTTCATCACACAAAGCATGCCACTTTAACTAGATTATCCTATGCTTTCCCACAGGGCAGCATACAAAAGCAATTTGCTTGTGGGATAAAACAAGAAACAAATTACTTACTAATCTAGGTCTTCAACCATTTAATGTCTCCTTCAAAATGCTGTCCTGCCAAAACCCCCATTTTCCTCAGTGTTTCTGTCTGTCTAAAGGGCCTGTAGAAATCCTCTATGCATTTCACGGCAACATTATTTACCGTGGTTTGTCAGGATTTCATTACTGGCAATGTGTAAAAAGATTATACAGTAGCTAGCTACGTCAAGCTCCTTTTCCTTTCACTTTGCCTGAGTGGTATAAAATTTCGTTTTCCATGTCGAAAAATAAATCAGGAGAGAAATTGTGCATATAATTTTGGTGCACATCAATGTGGCTTGAGTGTCTGCTGAAGGTGAAATACACTAAAATATACAGAAATGGTATGTCTAAAACTGTACAGAAAACTGTGATGGATTAATCCAATATGACGGGTACTATATTTTGCCTTTACCTGGACAATCCTTATTAGTGCCATTCTCCATCAAGACATTTGTCTCTGACTGCAAGAGAACATACAAAATGACTTAAAATATGATTAGACATATACAAAAAAACTTTTTTTTTTTAAAATGCTCCTAGCCCTGTCAGATTAAAAATTCTATTCCATTAATGTTACAAAATTACAGTTGTCATGAGTTGTTGACTCTTGATTCTGATTCGTTCATTGATCAGGCCATTTGTCTGAATCGGTTTAACAATTCATTGATAAAATCTAACTCAAAAGAACGATTCGAGAAAGAATCAAATATTGCTAGTTAGTATCCCAAAATAGAATTTCAGAATATCCCAGTGGGTCTGCGTTATAATTAAGTATTTAATAGCATCCATACGTTACATAAAAGGTAGTCATAGCTAGATATGTTGGTCTTTTTTAAACAAATGTTTCAGGTCATATAATTAATGTAAGCATGAATATGTAAACCAGTGCATACTTACTGTATATGCTGTGTGTGTGTGCATATTAAAAAGATAGAAGTACACCATATGCATATTATGTTAGTTAAAGGGATAGGCTAATTCACCCAAAAATAAAAATTCTGTCATCATTTACTCACCCTCAAGTTTTACCAAAACTTTATGAATTTCTTTATTTCTGCTGAACATAAAATATACTTTGAAGAATATGGGTTCCATACTATGAACATCATCAACTGTTTGGTTACCAACATTTTTCAAAATATCTTCTTTTATGTTCAACAGCAGAAAGAAATTCACACAGGTTTGGAACAACTTGAGGGTGAGTAAATGATGTCAGAATTTTAGGTGAACTATCCCTTTAATATGACAGTAAATGTATAATTTAGAGAATATCAAGTGATTCTGATTTTCTGTAGGCCTACCTTTGATGGCTTGTATCCACAAAGCATTATGACTGCTATCTTAAGATCTTCTCTGGACAAATAACCTTTCTTACCCACATCACACTGATGGAAAACCTAAAGAATACATAAACATAGACATTAGTATTATAACCCCCTAGTGGCAGTTTTTTTTTTTTTTCACCCAAAAATTAAAATTATGCCATTAATGATTCACCCTCATGTCGTCCCAAGCCCGTAAGACCTCTGTTTATCTTTGGAACACAGTTTAATGGCACTAATTTTTTTCCACTGTTTTTTATTTACATTTATATGGTGCATTTGCATTTTCATCCTAAGAATTTATAACCAATAAAATGTGCTTTTATTCCCATCCTAAGGCTTCATTCGCTGACTTTGAGTCTTTGAGCAAAAAAAAAAAAATGAAATGTAAGCACAACAAAAGCTCTACAAAAATTGTTTTCTAAAGACAGATATTGATTACAGTGGTCTGTATCTTAAACCTGCAGTGATCATAAACTTGCATTGGTTACCTCCACTGTAACTGATTTCCCCACACATGTTAATGCTTTGATGTTAAAGCTAGAATGTCACTAATGTGTTTATTTACAAAAAGGCATGAGTGGAGAAAAACAAGTTAATTTTATTTTTATCTAAATTGTCATAAAACTCCTATTTAAATATATTATTCATATAGGTTATACAAAAAAAAACTGAATAAGCTGATCTATAGAATGTAAACTGGTGGTGGCCTAGTCTATGAAAGGCACACCCCTCTAAGCTCACAGAAATGGTTAGACCCAAGTCTTCAGCAGCCAATGACACCGACCGTTCATAATGATTTTTAACGCGTATTTCACGCGTGAAATATGCGTGAAGAATGCGAGAAATACGCGTTAAAATTTGCGTGTTTTTGGCCCTAAAGGCTTTCCATAATAAGGCCAACGCGTTTCCACATCGTGTTTTCGTTCAGAGCCAGCGTGACGTGACTGAAAGCAGCAGAAGCGGCGGAGCACAGCGGTGAGAGACGCTTCACGGCCCCGGCAAGTTTAGCTGCATTGCAAATCCTCGTCGCCAGAAAAGTAAAAAGAAAAAAAAAAAAGATCGTAAAAGGAAACGTGACTGGAGATTACAAAAAACACGAGTTAATATCGGGATAGCTTTGTCCAGGTGATAGACCTAAATGCAGGAGAAAGAGACGCTGAAGTCCTGCTTTCTTCTCGACAGGTAAGTCAATGTTACAGTCTGAATTACAAGCTTTTTTTCATCGTTTGCTTGTGTACTTTATTATATAGACAAGATTAACATTTATAGGGAAATGTTGACGATGATATCTAATGCACGTAGGCTACTTCAGAAAATATAACGAATAAAGAAGGCTTAACTACTTATTACAATAGTTCATGTTTTTCACAGTCAGTAATTCATATTGTAATATTGGTTCATTCGTTGTGTCAGGTTACTGTTTGTTGGAAATAACACATCTGTTCACCTGTCCTGAAGGAACACTCGACAAAGTGCTAATCCTGTCATAGCTTTTTGGTACATTACCGTGGCTGCAACACGCATTTCAAAATGCAAGGCCTAGAGATTCGTCTGAATGCAAAATACAGTTTCGCCGCTAGATGGCAGCAGTTCCTACACATAGTCCCTGTAGGTGGCATAAGGTGGTGTGTGTGTGTGTGAGAGAGATTTGGGGGGGGGTTGAAATGTGCGTCCAATCATTGCATTAGGTCAGAATGCAATAATATGACGTCCTACCTGCCTTTAAAATTATGTAGCTTTTTTCATACCTCTGCGCACCCATCACAAGTCATCATGCTATGCAGACAGAAGTCAGTCACTAGCATTGCAACATAAACTGCAGCCGCCTTCACACTGGCAGTTGAATTCCTCTCCGATACGACTCCGAAGAATTTATGCATTTCAATGGCAACACTATCAATGCAGAAATTAATCTGCAGCAGGTAAGTCAGGTTATACAGGTTAGTGATCATTAGGTTTATTTGTTCATGTGCTTTGAGACATGATGTAGTAGTTAGACGCCCATCTTTGGCATAGACCGTAATCTTTGGTTGGTCCTTGCTTTGCGCGCTCATGTTTTGAAGGAGGCGTGGCTTTGGAGACTCTGAAGTGAGGCAATGCTACTAAATGATCAAACTGTTGTTGTTGTTGTTGTTTTTTATTTGTTGTTGTACACAATACTGGAATTAAACGAGTTTGCAAAAGACTGCTGTTTTGGAGTTGAAATGTAAATGAAAACGGGCAGCTAGATGAAACAAAATATTAGAAATTAAGGGCAATTTGGTGAACATTACAGTGCAAAAAGTATAATAAAAAAGCAGCTTTGTTGAAAACAAACAAACAAAAACACATGATTATGTTAATTGACAATTTACAGCATTTCTTGAAATAAATAATAATGTTTTACAGCACCGAATTCGACGCAACTATTTCTCTGAAGAACTCAACAGCGCAGCGCACGCTACTATTTCCATAATAAGTCACAATATCTCGGCACAACTACGGTTATTAGTTGTTATACTGTTATTATGTTACTGGTATTATACTTTGGGCAGTGGGCCCCACACAATATTATGTAGGTTACTACTTTGTAATGATTTATGAGGCCGTGCAATAATGAATGTAGAGACGTAAGTTACAAAATACAGTTGGCTATTTAGAAAACCCTCCAAAAAATTCGTTTCAGAGCCCGGATAGCTCAGTCGGTAGAGCATCAGACTTTTAATCTGAGGGTCCAGGGTTCAAGTCCCTGTTCGGGCGGAAAATTCTTTTCCCTACTTTGGGTAGAAACATGTCTATTGAGAAACCTCAAATTTAATTTCTATCCTGTTATTATCTAAATGTCAGACCAAGCTAGCTTTTTAAATAATGAAGCCCAGATACATTCCATACCCATTAACTTAAGTAACGTTTCACAAAAGCGTGACATGTTCAGTCAGTCGTATAACTTGAAAACGGTCTACCTTATCCATATATTATCATATTTTTGTAAATCTATGCCATCTTAACATTCGCACCAGCATCTCTGTTTCACACGTCATGACATCGTTCAAAATCAACAAGACTCAAATCTTACCAACTCAATTTTTTTCCTTTCGGCATCGTTTATTTGTCTCTCATTCCTAAAGCTTCTTCCAGTGGTGACTGTTTGCATTTGGGACAACTTAGATAGAAATATCTCAAGACTTCTGGAAAGTTGTGTATGTTTACATAGAAACCGTATGGATGTAAGGGACTGGTTGCTGTGTGCTGATTTGTTGAGGTTAAGCACGCAGTACAATGATGAAGTCAGTTATTTTCAAATTAAAAGTTTTTATAATGAAACGTTAATATTAGGGCTTTTTGCATTATGGAAGTGTTTGTATGGCAATTAACCACCCCCTTTCTCATTATTGTAATGAAAAAAGTCCACTTCCTAAGAAAAGGTCATACAAGTCATAATTATGAGATTAAATTAGAAATCATTGAGCTTTGTTCAATATCGACTATCACAGAGACTTTTATTTTGAAGAACATTGTGGCTTTTCTCTTCTGTTACTACTAGCCTACATGTGGAATTTGTACATAACGTGTGTGCCGAATCAAAACACAACAAACTGTTGTGTCCCCGTTAATGAAATGAGTTTTAAATGGACAACGGTCAACTAGTTCAGCAGCTATATATGCAGCACGTATTTAGCTTTCTTTAAACCGTAACATTTGAATGATTGACCTGTAACTTAGCCTGTTACATTTCACCTTCCCGCCTCTTTGTAAGTTTACGTTCATTTAAAAGTTACATTGTGCTTGAGCTCATCAGTCTATCCGTTGTTCATGCAATGCGAGCATTTATTTCTTGTTTTAGGCTCCATTTGTTTTTCAATGCATTTGTCAAATGACAATATTAAGGAACTGTTGTTACAGAGTATGCTCGTTTTACAGTGTATGTTACAGCATGCATTAAAAAAGATAATCTAAAACTTTTTGTGATCCACAGCTGAACAAAAATGTCCCAGGACAGTCAGCATGGCAAGTGGACCATATCAGATAGTGAAGACGAGGACAACATTATCCCTCCAACACCTCAAAAGGGTTTAAACAAACCAAGCATTAAACCTGATTTAGAAATAAAACCAGATAAGGTCTTCAAGCAAGAGCCCAAACTGAGTCCAAAACGCAATGAGAAAGCTGAAAACTCCCATCCTGTGAAGGAACCGTCTGCTCCTTCCATGGGATCCGAAGCCAGAAAAGCTGCACATGTGAATCAAACCAACCCTGTAAACTATGAAAGCATCTCTTCATCTGCTGTAAAGAGAAAGAGAGAAACAGAGGAGGGGGGCTGGAACCTCTCCAGCAGTGATGATGAAGCGCCTCCACATGTCATGAAAAATGAACCCAAAAAGCCGAGTCCTAAGAGGAAGAAGACAGAAGTCAAACGTCCCCCGAGCCCTCACGGCACTAGTTATTATAAAGAAGAGCCAACTGATTTCTTTGAGACCAACTTATTATCTACGAATGACATGTATCGTTTTTATTTAAACAAAGTTACTGGGATACCAAAAAAGTTCAACACTGGAGCACTGCATATCAGAGGTATTTAAAGGGTTTGAACTTTTAAAAACAATTCTATGTGTGTGTATATATATATATATACACATACACACACATAATATAGAATAAATATTAATTCTAAATTTTATAATATAATAAAGTTATGATATGATGTTGTATATTTCTAAAAGTCTTCCTGTTTTCTTTTCCTCTCCCTCTCCAATAATCAGAAATACTTTCTCCGATGTTTGGAATGCTGAAAGAGTCTGTGCAGGTATTGTATGAATGGATGAAGTTGCACCTAAGGTGTTTACAACAACCACGAACAAAAGTTTGTAATGTTTTTGTCCTGATTCACATCTTTCTTCTTTTGTAGTTTAATTACTGTTTTGACATTCCATGGATGGTGGAGCAGTATCCGCCAGAATTTAGGTAAGATTTGTTGTGGTATTGCAGCTGCATAAATTGAAAACATAATTTCACTACATCGAATGAAATGGCACTACATGCCAATAAGTGCGAATGCTGTTTGTTTTTTAGGGACAAACCAGTCATACTCGTTCACGGAGAAAAGAGAGAGTCCAAGGCTCGGTTAATTGAGCAAGCCAAACCATATCCAAATATTCGTTTCTGCCAGGTCTGTGGTTTTTATGGTTTTCTTGATTTGCATTAAGCTACTTGCTCCACTAGAGGGAAGCATTAAACTTTATGGTAGTCTGAGGTCCTCTAAACCAGTCTCTCTCAACTGGTGGGTCGATGTTTTGATTGGGCCTCAGAGTGTGGAGTCAAAGAAACAACAACAAAAAACATAATTCTTAATATTTTTCTGATGCGATCATTTTATTTTGAAAGAGATTTGAGAAAGCTGTTGACTCTTCTGTGTGATAAAGTTAAAGTAAAGCGTGCGTGAGAATAAAAATTTGTTATCTGCGTTCTGATAAGATGTTGTCAGGCTATATATCACTGTCATTCTAACGTTGGACTTTGTTTGTGCTATGGTATAGTGGTATAGCCCACATTTGTCCACAATTACAGGATTAAGGGCTATAAAGTGAAAACAGTTTGATAGTTAAGCAAGCAGAACTTGTATATTTTTATTTTGAACTCTTACATTTGAATTGCAAATTAAGCAGTATGGTTTGGTTCTGGTTTGGTTCAGTTGAGAGCCACTGCTCTAAACAATTTGTTTCTCAATGTCTGTGTATAGTGGGAAAATTGTGACATTGCTGACAAAAAAGAGCCTTTTGTTGTTAATACATACCATTTCATTTTAAAAGAAATACTAAATGTTTATTGTTGAATTGAACTCTCTTTATGTTTTTTTACAGGCCAAACTGGACATTGCATTTGGCACACATCATACGTGAGTGTTGGACATTTTATTTCTCTGTATAATTTTAGTGAGACTGAGCAAAAAAAAAATTGACTTAAGCTTGGTTTCTTGTAAAAATCCATAAAGCAGTGGTTTTGAGTGACAAGTCAACAGTGGTACTGTTGTAGCTTATTTACTTTTTATTAAAATACTTTAATCAGTTGAAGTATTTATGAGCAGTCAGTAGCATCCTGCATATGGGAGGTACTGTAGCGCTCCTCAAACTACTCTAGAGAGTATTGAATTCTTCGCAATCCATGCCAATGCCCATATTATCAGATGAGCATCTGTTGTGATGAGTTGAAATTAGATGTTTAGCAGGTGCAGTATTGAGTAGTGCTGTTTTCTCTCCAATCTTTCATGTTTTATTCAACAGAGGCCAACGTAACAGGATTGATTATTTTTGACTCTAGGTGAACGAATTAAAAGGCTTGTCACCAAAAAGGCAGCAAAAGAACATAAAGACTGGCAGAATAATCCTGTTCAAACACCTTTGTCAGGTCTTCATTTTCTAATTTTTTTTCAAATGAGTTTTAAAGATCCCTCTCTGAAGAACATAAAGAGCTTTTTTTCTTATTTTCTTAAATAAATTAATAAATTTCCCACCCAAAGAACAGCACAGAATTGATATTATATTCCAAAATGTGGGGTTCTTTTTATAATTAATAAAAAACAAAAGCTTAAGGCTTGGTAAATGAGCCCTCATTCTGAAAGCTACTCTCATACCGCTTGACACTAAAAGGCATGTTATATGCAGAGAAGTAATATTGAGTCTTTGGTAAATGTGCCTTAAGGTTCAATGGCAGTGTTTTGAAGGACACAAATAAAATAAAGGCAAGGCAAGTTTATTTATATAGCACATTTCATACACTATGGCAATTCAATTGTATTTAAGTTCTTGTTGCTTTTTGCAGGAAAATGATGCTGCTTTGGTACGAGGAGGGATTCAGAGTCATCATTCTTACCTCAAATCTCATCCGAGCCGATTGGTACCAGAAGACACAAGGGTAAGACGAGCTAAATGCACAATCGCACAAGATCTTTCCAGGCTCATCAATACATGTTTAGAATTTGATACCGAACAGTAAGACTGATTACCCCTAATTAATTGCTAGTTGGTCATACTAGTTCTTAAGACACTGTCTTGACATAATGGCTATGTTTATGCAATTGGGAACAGCTGTTTGTTGTGCTGTTTTCTTTTTTTTTTTTTTTGAAGTTGCTCATTTTCCGAGTGCAACAACATTTGTTTCATTCCTGAAATGGAAGTTATGCATCCACTAATGATGCGTTTGTCTGTTGCTATGACAACACACTGTGCAGACACTTAGAGTAAATTGAAATTAAGCTGATCTATTCTAAATTGGAGCGTTGAGCACTACAAATCTGAATAAACCAATCGTGTTGTTATAGACTCCTCTCAGACCTGAAATGGTCTGTTTAAATTAGCTACATGGAATATTTGTTTAAATTAAGTAGCGTTTTATGAAAGCTATCCATTAATACTTGTGTTTTCCATGGTGTCATATTCATTCTACGGCAGGTCAGAGCGATGCCCAATGAATTAGCAATTGCTTTTAGTTATTGGGCTCGGTTTTATTAGCGGTGTATCAAGAACAGAATACCATTAAGGAGACAAAAGCTTGAGAGTCCTATTGTAAAGCTGGCAGTTAGGTTATCACCCACACTAGGCTGTGTGGAGTAGTGAGAAGCAAATGAAATCTCTAAATTGAGCAATTAATATTTAAACCTTCTGGCATGCATATATTCAGGCAATGTGGCAAAGTATATTATCACATTTACTGAACCTGTACTGCAAGATTAAGATTGAGGCATTAATAAGTGTTGGAACCATGGCCTAGTGGATAGTACACATGTTATGCCACGTTGTACTGTGGGGTTTATAGAGACGATGTCAATCCAGCTGACGTTTCCTAGTGGACCCTTAACAGACTGTTTTAAAACATGTAATATAGATTTATAACACTGTATTTGTGTTATATTACCTTGGCAGTGAATTACAAAAACAAATTTGCTGCGAGGGTATTTAACAGCTGATGGAATGACGGCAAATTTTGCCTCATTTTCTCTTCTGACTGCTGTAATCTCACAATATTGTTTCCCTCATTTGTAAAGATGCGTAAATGCAATATTTTTTTTTTCTTTTGCTATTGAACAAATGGGAATGCAAAAAATTGTTTTTGCTGTTATCTCCCATTCACCACTACACAGAAGCTTACACAACTATGAAGACTTCCGCTTCTGATAACCCCAGAAAATAAAAAAAAAAAAAGTTCCATACCACTTCCACCTATTCTATTCATCATTTCTTCTCCTCAGAGACTCAGTAGGAAT